GTTCTCCACGTATCCAGTTTATCTACATTTTATTTCGCTGTGGCATATCTCGCTTCATTACAGGATGTCAACCATGTATATACCAAACCAAGCATATACCTAACCATGTATGTATACCGAACCATAGCTCCAAACCGTGTTTCTCCCCCAAACCATAGCTCCAACCCGTGTTTATCCCCCAACCCATAGCTCCAAACCGTGTTTCTCCCCCAAACCATAGCTCCAACCCGTGTTTATCCCCCAACCCATAGCTCCAAACCGTGTTTACCCCCCAACCAAAGCCCCAAACCGTGTCTATACCAAACCATAACTCCAAACCGTGTCTATCCCAAACCACGTCTATACCAAACCATAGCTTCAAACCGTGTTTATCCTCACATTAGACATTCAGTTACCTTTTAGACCGGTAACGATCCTGTTCTCCACGTATCCAGTTTATCTACATTTTATTTCGCTGTGGCATATCTCGCTTCATTACAGGATGTCAACCATGTATATACCAAACCACGCATATACCTAACCATGTATGTATACCAAACCAAAGCTCCAAACCGTGTCTATCCCAAACCACGTCTATACCAAACCATAGCTTCAAACCGTGTTTATCCTCACATTAGACATTCAGTTACCTTTTAGACCGGTAACGATCCTGTTCTCCACGTATCCAGGTATATACCAAACCATGTATAGACCAAACCATATCTATACCAAATCATGTATATACCAAACCATAGCCCCAAACCATATCTGTACCTAACCATGTCTATACCAAACCATTTATATACTAAACCATGTCTATACCAAACCATAGCTCCACACGGTGGCCATACCAAACTATAGCTCAAAACCATATCTATACCAAATAATGTATATACAAAACCATAGCTCCAAACCATGTTTATCCCCCAAACCATAGCACCAAACCGTGTTTATCCTCACATTAGACATTCAGTTACCTTTTAGACCGGTAACGATCCTGTTCTCCACGTATCCAGTTTATCTACATTTTATTTCGCTGTGGCATATCTCGCTTCATTACAGGATGTCAACCATGTATATACCAAACCATGCATATACCTAACCATGTATGTATACCAAACCATAGCTCCAAACCGTGTTTATCCTCACATTAGACATTCAGTTACCTTTTAGACCGGTAACGATCCTGTTCTCCACGTATCCAGTTTATCTACATTTTATTTCGCTGTGGCATATCTCGCTTCATTACAGGATGTCAGACGGTAAATGTATTTATTTTTATTTGCCGAACAATTGGGTCCTAAAAAGTGCATAGAACATACATTAGACGATTTCAGTCATAGTAAATCATTTATGTTGAATGGTTCGCAACTTTCAGTCAAGCCGCAAGCTATGTAATAGTACAAGTCATTGAAAATTGTCGTTTTTATTAAAACGACATAACATAAAAATACATGTTACAATACATGCATTGAACACCCTCCTGAGAAGGTGTACCATACATAGACTGCATTTCATAATCAAATGCAATGCCATTCTCCTAATGACTATAGTAGGTGAGGGGACAAGAAAACGCCCAAACCTTTAATAACTGTTAAACATACCATGAGTATTATGACATAATTTAAAATAGAGGTGTAAGGGGACGGTGGCGGGAAGAAATCAATGTTTAAAATAACGCCCTACCTTTTAGCCCGTTAAGAAATTTTCCAAGTGACGCTTAGCTAGATCACGTAATCATATATTCATACGCATGTGCGTCCTGTTCACCTTGCTCATTAGGAAAATATATACTAAGGCCAAAAGAAAGAATCCCAAAATAAACCGTTACCACCAACATAAATGCAATAAAATGCTTTCTGTATTTAATTGTTGTTATTTTCATCTGATATCTTGTTTGGTGAAAGCATTTTTAAATGTGGAGTTTTTACTTCGATGAATTCCACCTCGTGCATTTACCGGCCAGATATTTCACATGTTTTCAGCCTAAAGCATGGTAGGTACGTATTGTGTTATGTTCAATTTACAACAGTATTCATAACGACAGTGGGGCCACGGTGCCACACACGGCACGTACAAATAGTTATAACATAAAATAGTGAATTGCCCTTTTAACCAAAGACGTAATATCTGTGTCTCTGTATAAACATAATTGTTCGCCATTACATAAAACGTGTCCAAACACGAATGACTTACTAGCTATGTGAAAAAGTCAGTAAAGTTGTATGATATAAACCCCCACACTCTTCCATACCCCCTCCCCTCTCCCGCTCGGGCACGTGACACTAACAACCCTATATACATTGCATTATGACTTGTTTTGTAGTATCAATTGGAATTACATTGCATTTCTAGCCAAGTAATATCGATAATTTTTAATATTCAAAAATAAGTTGATGAAGTGATCGAGCGAAAGTTCCCTGGATATTATAATTTCAAATTAATTTCGCTACATTGCTAGACTTGTGATTCACTCTGACAGGTCACGGTGACAGGTGGGCGTGTTTGACTCTGACAGGTCACGGTGACGGGTGGGCGTGTTTGTACAGGTTTGGTTTTTAATTATAATAGTAAATTTATCATTGCATTGAATAACATTGATGTACAAGGAAGGAAAGCTTATTTTCTTCTTAATCGGAAAGCGAAAAGATTTTTGTTGAATGAAAAAACCTGGTTATCTTTATTTGATATTATATATCATGTATTGTGAATTACGGGTGTGAAGTATGGGGTTATAGTCCTGCACTGCAGATTGAAAATATACATTTGTTATTTTTGGCAACCTTATTGGGCGTCAGGAAAACAGTAAATAATGCCATTTTTGATTGTATTTTGAACTTGGTCGTTACCCTTTGCGTTACAGCGTGGGATTGCTATTGTAAAGTACTGGCTGCAAATATTAAAGACTGGTAACTGTATTTAGAGCTTGATAACAGGAAAACAAATTGTTAAGCAAATTGGGTTTATCATCGGAAACGTGATTTGTGTATATTGGGTTTTGGAGATTAGTGGTTGGCAGAATGTGTACCAAATGAGAAATATGTTTTAATAATTAATATCATATATACAACGCATAAAGGATACTTTTATTCAGGAAATGAGAAACATATTCAAGACATCTTCAAAATGTTTGTTGTATAAACACATTGTTGACCATTTTGATCTACAACGGTATTTTACAAAACCGCTATTGAGAAAAAAAAATGTATTCTTGCGAAATATAGATTGCAAGCACATAACCTTTAAATAGAGACAGGTATAATGCAGTGCCTCGAAACCAAGATTGTGTACTATATGTGATCTTGAAGTTTCAAACCATATTATCGTATTTGTCCTTCTCTGTTTAAATTAATAGAGCTACTGTCTAGCAAATGTTTGAAACCTATTAGAAATTTAAGTAAGTACTTGATGCAAGCAACTGTTAAGAGAAGTCGTATATTATGATGTAAACGTTTTGTTACTCTATAATGTGATTGAGATCTGTCTTTTACTTCACAATGAGTTATAATCTCATTTCATTATGTAATATATAGTAATCGTTCTAATTTCATTTTGAGGTTGTATGATTGTCTTTATAGTTTTGTTATTTCCTAGAAATTTGATTAGCTTAAGGCTTTATCTGTATTATTTCATAAACAACTTAATTATGCTTCATAAATGTCCGCTAGGTTACCTTAGGAAAAGCTTTAAGCTTTCGCCAACTTATAACTATTTCATGAATTTGTTATTATTATGTATGGAATTTTGGTTTCAACAAATTTTATTGTATTTACAAAAGGATTAGACAACAGGCACTGCCTATTGTCTAATCCTTTTGTAAATATGGAATTGAATCTATTGCATATGTTCTCCCCCATTGTACAAGATGTATATTTCTGTACGTTTATATGCATTGTGCATTTGGTAATAAATTGAATTGAATTGAAAATTGAATTGTGACTCTGTTTTTCACACTATGACTCAGAGTCCAAGTGTCAAAAACAGAGTCACAATTCAATTTTGGAGGTCACGGTGACAGGTGGTTGTGATTTTTAGACTGTGGTGACATCGGACTGTCTAGGGCTGATTCACTGACCGCATACAGTTTTAATTTACCTGAAGGGCAAATTGTTTTGATAGGGATTTTAGTGGTGTTTTTTTTTAAGTGTCGGAGTTTCAACAAGTGAATCTTCCTGTAAAACTTAACTGTTTGAACTATAATTAATTAGTTGTAATTAGAACGTATTAGATGTGTTTACGTAACATGACCATCTATTTAATCCAGAAACCAAGCTGTCCAGGTTAGAGTGGGCGACTAATGTTAACAAGTGTTTTACATATATTTCATTACTGTCGTGACGTCACCTGTAATAGTCATGGTTACTCTGATCATCGACAGAAGTTTAAATTCTATTATAAAACCGATTATACATGTTTTTACAGTTCAGTAAACAGCCAGGAAGAAAAAATGGTAAAATTTAGAGATATGAAATATTACCGGATGATGTACATGTCTAATAGAGGACAATGAGATTAATCTCGTTTATATACATACGTACAAAACCAGGGACGTATACTGTCCCTGACAAAACACACCATCCTTTTTTCTAAAAGAATAATATGAATATTTGTAATCAATGAACTGCAACTACTACATACATATAGAGAACAGCGTATGACAAATCCTATCTAAGTAGTGAGACAATATGTATATACTCATTAGTCTACTGAAAAAAATGCCAATCTATGTAGATAGACGACTCGCATGTAAATACAAACAGCAAAATATCAAACGATTCTTGATATCATACAAAAATGTATGATTCTGTAAAATTTAAATCTTGTTTCCATACAGTTGTATTACATGGCATCAATAACTTGGTTTAAACGAGAAAACGTGTAGTCCCGAGACAGCGCACATCTAACGGCTAATCACAGATACAAGTCTGTGTATCGTAACGAAGTAGGGCTAGTCCCCTTAATTGAAATAAAGCTATTGAAATAAAGCTATTAAGACAATTGTAAGTGGACTATCAGCTCACCTTCACGGTATACGGCGGAGTTTCGGTACTGTAGCTGTCCGACTTCATAGTGTGTGTTAACGTGACCACGTGGTCTAACGAAGGTTGATTTGTTAACGGGTTTATCGCCTACATATATTCCACCCATGTGGGTTTCTTCTACTCACTGCCCCGGTATCGGTTGGTTGGTTAAGCTTTATAGTCATCTCATCGTTATCACGTGATCATGACATGTGTGTTAACGACACTGGATATTGCTACAAGGCAGGCGGTGATAAAGCGACCGTTTTAGGACAAAATACATAAACTACTCAAGTGCAAAAACTGTTGCACTTAAGTGGGAAGAAATGGACATAATGGCCAAAAATTATAAAAACTTTTTCACTAAAGGATGTACACCTCTGAGAAGTAAAAAAAATCCATTATTAAACTTTTTTTCTTATATTGATTTTTGGTAAAAGGAGATAAAGAGGCATAGTAGAAAATGCAAAAAAATATGTCCGTGTGTTCGTTTTTGTGCTATGATCAGTCAAAGATACCAATTTAACACAATATCTGATTTTAGGTGAATTTTCGGGTTTTGACCATTTGCAGAACCAATTCATACAATTTCTTCCAAGTGTGTTATCAGATATGTATGAATGTTTGTAGAATTGATAAAAAATATTATTTTCTTTGAAACTATGGAAGTAAAATTTCTTAATCTTATTCATTTTACTCAGAAATGCGATTTTAGTTACCCATACCCGTTATTTTTTTAAAGGAAAAAATGCACATTTTTTACATTTTTCACCATTTTTTGCAGATTAAACGCTTGATATAAAAAAAATCCTGTATTAAACTTTTTTCAGTATTCAATGATTCAAAAGAAAATGTGTTTCTCTTTCTAAAACAGCCACAAAAATGGGGGGTCGGTGTGCTTCTTTTTTTGTCCCATTATTATTTGTGTTATTTTTCACCTTTTTCGGGGTCAAAAATCAAAAGTGCTTCAGTTACCCTAATATGTAAAAAAAA